CTCACTTTTTCTTGATCAGTCTGATGAATAAGGCCATTTTGACTGTTGCTTGAGCAGCACCATAGCCCAGCTGCCAGTTCGTCTTTTAGTAATCATTCAAGAGATATGGCAGCTCTAAGATACTGGTTGTCTTAAAAAAAAAAAAGCTTCTGGTTTACAGGTATTAAAAGTGAAAAAAGACTTTGAATCCAGGGAACTCGAGAAGTCGGACTGAATACATTGAGCTTGTTTAAATATTTACATCCAAAATAAAAGTAAGGAACTTCTTTAAAAAGAAATTTTTAATTAGGATAAAAAGCTAAAGGACACAAAGGAAGAAACCATGAGAGTTGCCTTGTAAATATTTGCCAGAGACCTAATATCATGTCGTATTTTGCATTAGTTCCCACCCCCACTCCCCAACTCAACAAGCCATTCCCTTGTAGTCTAAACCTATTCAACAGCCAGGATCCTCCTTTAAAATCTCACTATCTCATTATCAGCACATCTGCTGGCCGGTACTACTCACACTGTTCTAGTTTCCCGTCCATTATTCAACTTAATAAAATTGATTAAAGCAATAGACAAGGTGAATGTTCATATTATCAAGTTGTTTGTAGTCTGGTAGTTTGGGCTAGTCATGAAAAAACGAAATTTAATAAATACCATATGACCCAGTTATCTCTCTACTGGGTATTTATCCAAAGAACTGGAAATAAACCATTCAAAGAGACTTATGCACTCCTATGTTCATTGCAGCATTATTCACAACAGCCAGATGTGGAACCAACCCAAGTGCCCATCGACTGATGAATGGATAAAGAAGGAGTGGTGTATAGAGACAATGGAATACTACTCGGCCATAAAAAAAAACCAAAATCGTCCCATTTGCAACAACATGGATGGACATCAAGGGTATTATGTTAAGCAAAATAAGCCAGACAGAGAAAAACACTGTACGATTTCACCCATATGTGGAAAATAAACAAACACATGGACAAAGAGAAAAGATTAGTGGTTATAAGAGGGGAAGGGGGTTGGGGGTGGGCATAAGGGGTAAAGGGGCACATATATATGGTGACTGACAAATAATAATGTACAACTGAAATTTCACAATGTGATAAACTATTATGACTTCAATAAAATTTGTTAAAAACCCAAAACCCTCAATTCTAGAGTGGTCATGACCCAATTAAAAAAAACAAAAAGGAAATTTATAACAAGAGAAATGCACTGGAGTTCAAAGCTTGAGAAGCCTCTATTAGAGACATCAGTAAAGGCCCAATGAGAGTGGGCTTGGCAGTAGGAAATGCTGAGGTCTGAATTAAAGCTCTATCTGTTAGTGCTGAGTGACTTTGGACATCTTACTGAACCTCTCTGAACCTCACTTATAATTATCTATCTTGGATGATTATTGTCAGGTTTAACATGAAAGATCATAGGAAAAATTTTTTATACAATGTGAGATATGTTTATAAGCATTTAGGAAAAGGCAGCAACTATAGAGTAAAATAGTGAAGTTGCTACAAATAATCTTGTTGGAACTAGATTGCCATGGTCTGAATACCAGATTCTCCATTTACTAGCTATGAAAACTTAGGCAAATCACTTAGCCAATCTGTGCCTCATTTCCTCATCTATTATGGGAATTATAATACTCTTGATCTCAGAATTGTGGAGAGGACAAAATTAATTCTTGTAAAAATCTTCATTAAAAAAATTCATGTAAATCTCTACAGCATAAGTACCTGAGAAATGTTAACCAGTTTGATTATCATCATCACCTTTGTCATTATTATGATTTCAGGAGGTAGTATTTCAGACAAGCCTTAACAGGTTGGTAGTATCAAAACAAAAGTATTAAGAAGAAATTCCCAGCTACGGGGACAGCAAGAGTAAGAGAAGGGAAAAACAGAGCAACAAAAGCTTGTCCAAGGGTCAGAAAATACACTTTGACCAGAGAATAATGAAGCATGTTAGAAAGCTAAAAATGATAGATGAAGCCTTGATTGTAGAAAAGCTTGATGCAAGATTGAGGCTTCTCTAAATACTTCACTACCCAACCAGGGGTCTTTCGAGTTTTCAGAACAGAGGAGTCATGTGATCATCGTTGCAGTCTATTAACATAGCAGCATTGGTTTTGCATAAGTTAGAAGGAGACAACAGAGGCAGGAAGTTTAGTTAAGGGGCTCTGCACTGTTTCCGCAAGAAGTCAGGAAAGCCTGAACCTGAGCATTCCAAATAAGAGTCCAAAAGAGAGGACCGGCTCCTGAGAACATACAGGACTTTGCAACTGTTTGGAGAAGGCCATGGAAAGCAAGCCAGAGACGCAGATCAGGTGCAGCTTGGTTATGACTGACAGGTAATTGGGAGTTGAGACCCACAGATCATTCTTTAGCAAGGGAAAAGCTGTCAAAGGCTGCTTTGTGAAAAAGACCACATCCAACAAGCAAAGGTGGGGAGCGGCAGGAATAAAGCCGCTGCATCAATCTATGCTCATCATTTTCCTAGAGGAGGTGCTGACCCCTTAGGGCTGAGTTTGGAGCTCCTCCTCTCTGACCTCAGAGCATCCAGTGTAAACTATATTAGAGGTCTTATGAGGGAGTAATGGAATTATCTGTCTATCATACACACTGGTCTGATGGCAAAAACCGGTAGTGCCTATATCCTCAATAGTATTTGAAGAATGAATGAATGAACAAGTTAGCTGCCCTTAGAACCTCAGTCCTCCAAGTCACCTTTGCATCATAAGGCTCTTTCCAGCCTCACAGACTAGCGTCTCACGCACAAGTTTCTATGACTCATCCTGCCTCGAGTAGAAACCAAACTACTTTGTTCTTTGTCAATCTACTTTACCAGCATTCAAGTAGCCTAATGGGATGCATAAATGGTTTTCAAAATATGTTTCTAAAAGTCTTTGAGGTTCCATGAAATATGCTCTCCCACCCTACCCCATCCCACAGTCCAGGGACCATCCAGAGTCATACAAGCTGGGAGGGTTAGCGGGGAGAGAACAGCAGCCATACTTAAATTGGTTGTATAAATGGGACATCACTGTAAGACTGCGATTTTAGAAAAGGATTCTGAGATTTTTTTTTAAGTTTAAAATACTTTATCCACCCTTTCAATTATAAGTTTCACATAAAGTAAATCCTTGGGGCCAGCCCTGTGACGCAGCCGTTAAGTATGCACGTTCCACTTCGGCAGGCCAGGGTTCGCCAGTTCGGATCCCGGTGCCGACATGGCACAGCATGGCAAGCCATGCTGTGGTAGGAGTCCCATATATAAAGTAGAGGAAGATGGGCACGGATGTTAGCTCAGGGCCAGTCTTCCTCAGCAAAAAGAGGAGGATTGGCAGCAGTTAGCTCACGGCTAATCTTCCTCAAAAAACAAAAAAAAGTAAATCCTTTAGTTTATCTTTAAATTATTGTCCAAATATCTTAAATTGCAAAATAAGAGCCCAATCCCTTCCATCATTCTCCTTCTCGCTGTATATATACCAAAATGGAGAGAAGCAAGACAGTGGGCCTGTTCCCCTTCTCTGAGTGTGGTTTATTTTCTGTTTTCCAGCCGTGGTCCTTCTGAAGAGTTATCTTCCAAGAAGCCAAGTAATACATTAACACAGGATGTTCCAGTGCAAGTCTTCCTCACAAACAAAAAGAAAGAAAGAAACTGAGAAGACTTCTCAGCTTCACGCTAAGACTGTTTTAGTTGGCTTGGGATGGGAGCCAATCAATCACTGGTGTGCAGGAGCTGGCTCCTGAGAGCCAGTTTGAGCTCATCTCTCCCAACTCTGCAATCAATGATGCCACGTTGGTAGCCCGACACTGACCACGCTGGGAGTATTTACCCCACAGAAATCTTCAAATGCTACAAATCGGGGCTTTTTTCCTTGCAGATATCCAGCGTATCAGCACACTGTTAAAATTTTGTTTTCGAGTTCCCTACAAGAAATTAATGCACAGCTAGCGTTGAGAACCACTGCAAAGAAAGAACATACTCAATGAATTAATTTTTTAGGAGTCTGATATGTCTGCAATTACGTGTTAGCAGCCTTACTACCTGGTACCATTAACATGCAATATTTTATACACTCAATGTGCTGCAAAAAGTCTATATATAAGCTGTATTTTTAATTGGCTCAAATTTTCAATGTTAAAGAGAGCTTACTAATTTTTTAATTAAAAGTCTAATCATAGATTTTGGAATCGAAGAATTTGAGTGCTAAAGGGAATTTAAGAAGTAATCTAGTCCAACTCTTTCAGAATTAAAAGAAAAACCCACTAAGTTATAGAAAGTGAGACTTATATCCATTAAACTATGTAAAACAGTGCCAGGATCGTAAGGCCTGTCTGCTACCTCACCAACTGAATTTCTATATGGTGGGTTTGTTTAAAAAACGAAGAGCCAGCCTGATGGCATAGTGGTTAAGTTCATGCGCTCTGCTTCAGGGCCCAGGGTTTGCCGGTTTGGATCCCAGGTGCAGATGTATACCCCGCCTATGAAGCCATGCTGTGGCAGGCGTCCTACACATAAAATAGAGGAAGATGGGCACAGATGTTAGTTCAGGGCTGATCTCCCTCAGCAAAAAGAGGAGGATTGGCAGCGGATGTCAGCTCAGGGCTAATCTTCCTCATAAAAAAAAAAAAAGAAGAAGAGAGAAAAAGAAACAGTTCCACTATGACCTTTTAGTTCTTGTCCCGAAGAACCTAAGTAGTAATAAGGTCCCTGACCCTAGAAAAACTCGAACTTTCAAATAAAAGTGTCAACACACAGCCTAAGGGAAATAATTAAATAGCATACCTATTTGCATACCTCATGTTTGAGTACAGCAAATACTTGTATTGAAATCATCTCTCATGGAAAGAACGCTTCCCTTCTCACAGGATGTTGAACAATTAGCACAGATTAGAGCACTGCTCTCACAGTTCCCTACGCACGTAACCTTGTGCACTGATGAAAAAATAATACACTACTGGTTGGTCACTTAACCATAATAAAGAGGAGATATAAACACATACCCACGCGAGAAGCAACAGGTTTCTTTTCACTGTTCCACAGTATCCTAACATGCCCACTATGATAAGGAAACAGCAAACGGCGATCATGACCGGATGAACCACAGGAAAGTAAGTCAGGATGACAGCCTCCTCCACCCTGAAAGAAGAACGACAGTGTCATATTATAAACAAAATACAGTCGAGATACACCCAAGACATAGGAAGACACAATCGTGATTTGAGTTAACGATCCTTTAAATCATCATGCCTCAAAACTGATGACTGTATTCCTATTCTCAAAAGCACCAATGGGCTTGCTTGTTTTATTTTGTTTAGTTTTTTATACAAGTGGTAGCATTCCTACCTCAACTCATTTAAAATATATTTTAAGAGAGGAGTCCTCAATAAGAAGTCGATCTACAATTAGCTCCGAAGCCTTAGCCTGAGGAAACCCCACGGGACCCTTCGCTATCTTCCAGCTGAGAAGAATCTCCCTCTTCTCGGATCCGGGACTCCAAGTGCAGCTCTTTCTTTCTCCCTCACTACTGACCCTTCCCCAAAATGTGAAAGACTGCTATGTAATGGGAAATTGGTCTGTATTAAAAGAAAGAGGAAGGGAGAGAGATGATTTTCGTTAGAAAACTATGAAAAAATCGTTAACTAGAACTATAATAGTAAGGATAATAATAATTATATCAAAAATTACCATTGCTAAGCTCCATTGCGTTAAGGATTTTACAAAAACGTATCTCAGTTAATCCTTACGACATTTCAGAGTGATACACATATATTACAATCCCCATTGAGAGATGAAGAAACTCAGGGTGGGAGAAGTTAAGTAATTTGCCCCTTGCGATGTCAGTGGTTCAACTTTTGAAATTTGAGAAGAAAATGGCGTTGCTGGGTTTGGTTTTCACTAACTCAGGAATACAAAGGTAAGAAGGTTGGCAGTGATTTTCTTAGAGAAAAGTAGCTATGCTGTCCTTTCTATGTAAATATGACATAACTGACATACTGTCAGGAGGACAGGCGACTGGTATTACCATACCCAGAAATGTTCTCTAAGACCAGTGGCACACCTTAATGAGAATGCTAGAAAATGCAAGTGTCTGCAACAGAGGCTGCCATGGGCAGGAAACACTTTCCAAATGATCACAGAAGAGCACCACCGTCTAATCAGCTGAGAGCAATGGTAACAGAAACTAGCATCTGAGGAAACCCGGTGAAAGAAATCAATCATTAACTGTAACGCCTACCTTGTTTCTGCAGTTAAAGTCAGAACATTATTTAGGTAGTCCCTCATCCAAGCAGAAACTGCCAACACACTGATGGACATTAACTGGGAGAAAAACAAATACAAATTGGTTACCAAGGATTTACGCAACATTCTCTGTAGGATTAACAATAAAAAAGTATGGATTTTCATTACATAATCATGACGCTTTCTCCTAAGTACCATTTACCTCCTGTTGCAATTTACTATTACTATAAATATCTGCCATTCCGTTGTGTAATCATGTCATAGCCACTAAATAAAACGTCACCTGATAGGATACGGATAGCTAAACTATTAAATAGCTAATCCCAGGTTCAGGACAGGAATTGGACAAGATGAGGAGGCAACAGAACAACTAAATTATCAAACATATAAGATGAGCCCAAAACATGCTGTCATACTTAAAAGCAAGGAAGCTATCAAGTACTACTGATGTTGTCAACAAAAGTCAGAGGAGCCAACTTGAAAAGTCTTCCATTGGCTAATGAATGTTAGTTAGACAATTTAAGCATCAAAATAATAGTAATAATAATAATGCAATGGTTTGAAACATATTAAATATGCTAAAATCTATGAACTTATAATAATACCTAAACAAAACTCACTGGTCACCTTTGTAGGATGTTGGATAGTCAACTCACTCTTCAGAAAACTGATAAGAATCCACTATTCATTCTACCTTTCCTATACAAACCAAAGAGAGAACCAAAGACTTAATGAAAGTTTTTACAGAAGAAGTGCCGCTAATGTGTGCAGAAAGTATGATAGAATATGACTATTTAAGAACCCTTTCTGAAATAATAGACCTCTAGGCAAAGATCCCCAGTGGCTGCCAAAATTAGCAGGTCAGTGGTGCTCAGTCCTGTCTGTAGACCAGAATCACCTAGGACTCAAAAAATTACTCAGGCCAGGTCCACCCTGGATCAATTCTCGGGAGCAGGGCCTGGGCATCAGAAATGTGTGAAGGTTCCTCAGATGTTCTAATGAGTAGTTGGGGCTGAGAACTACCGCATTACATGGATGGCTGATGGGGACTTTAGAACGGAGAAGACCAGGCTGATGGAAAATACCAGACCTCGCTGATCAATTTCAGTATCACAAAAAGAGAAAATCAGATACAATGTGTCCCCCAGTGTGACACAATCGGAAGTGCACAGAGATACCCTTGAAGTATTTTCACAAAAAGTCAAATCTGAATCTAATCAAGCCTCCAGCTCTATCAGTTTATAGGAAATATAGAAAATAGATTTAAACTTGTTAAATGCCCCCAAAGGGACGCAATCAGCAAAATCGAGAATATGAGAAAGTTTACAGGACAAATGATCTCGTTTCTTCAACTAAAAAGACTGGCAAGTGGGGAAAAAAAGAAGGAAGGAGAAACTGTTACAAATTTTTAAAGATTTAAGAGATTACCCAATGCAAAATGTGTACCTGATTTGGATCCTGATTCAAAAAAATCAGTCACAAAGGGACAATTTATGAGATAACTGGGGATCTTTTAACATAACTGGATATTTGAAAATATTAAGAAATTATTGTTTATTATTTTAGATATGACAGTGATATCACGGTTAATTTTTAAAGGATCCTTATCGTTTAGAGATATATGCTGAAGTAATCATGAATAAATATAAGGTGACTGGGATTTGGCTTAATCAATAGTCATGATACGTGCGGTTAGGTGGGAAGTGGAGCCTACACTGATAATTGTTGAAACTGGGTAATGGGTAACTGGGGATTAATTATACTGTGCTTTCTACTTTCGTATATGTTTTAAATTTTCCATAATTCAAAACCATTTTTAAAAAAAGAAACTAGGGGCCAGCCCTGTGGCATAGTGGTGAAGTTCCTGCACTCCACTTCGATGGCCCGGGGTTCACAGGTTCGGATCCTGGGCACAGACCTAGCACCATTCATCAAGCCATGCTATGGTGGCATCCCAGATATAATAGAGGAAGATTGGCAACAGATATTAACTCAGGGCCAATCTTCCTCAAAGAAAGAAAGAGAGAAAGAGAGGAAGAAAGAGAGAGAGAAAGGGAGGGAGGAAGGAAGGAAGGAAGAAAGAAAGTAACTAGAACATGTTCAAAAAGAGTCTATCAGGGAAGCTTTTCTAAAAGCTGAAAGTTAACCTAAGTTCTGACAGTTTTTCTTATTTTGATGGAACTCTTTCTCAAATGTGCCTTATACTTATCTTCTTAAGCACAACATAGTGAAATTCAACTAACTTGATTTTTAGTAATTTCTGTCATCTTAATGAACATCAGTTCTCATTGCGTCTTACAGATTTAGCTGTAAACGTTGATATAATGAATAAAGGTAGGAATGAATCTGTTCTGACTCAAGCAATGGCCATGAAACATGCTTTCTGGATAACAGCTCCACAGTAAGCCGATCACCTAGAGCTCTACAACCGCTTGTAACATGAAGTATGGCTGCCTGCTTGGAAAACAAGCCAATTCACTTGTCCACCATTAGATTGCAAATATATGCTTAACACCTACTATCTGCCTTGTACTGTCTGTATGAGACTCAGAGACTCAACAATGAATAAAAGAAGCAAAATCCCAGCCTTGGTGGAGCTTCTTGAGGGACACAGGGAATAAATACATAAAGCAGATAATTACAGACTATAAAAAAGTACCATCAAGCACGGAAAAGTGAAGTAACCTCTTCAAAGTCTCACAGATCCTAAGTGGCAGAGCTGGGATTCAAACCCAGGCCCTCGGGCTTTGGAGAGCAAGGTTTAGTCACTAACTGCCTTCCACGTTTAGAAACAAGCATGATAAGTTCCAGAGATGGTGAGGAGTCTAGCCTGCATAGCGTTCAGCGTTCCTTTAAAAAAAAGGAGGCAGTGCCAGGTGGTCTGTAGCAGTCAGGCTCAGTCTGAATATCTGAACCATATTCTTTGGTGAATGGGGGTTCAGGGGTCAATGGCCTAAGTCAGGTTAAGAACCCTGGGACAACAGTTCAGAGAAGAATTCGGCCAGTTATTATCCTCATTTCTGCTGGGAATGAAGAACAGATTGTAAATCTAATAAAAGTTACCCAGTGGGTCGGCCACAGTGTATTAGCCATGCTTCGAGCTTCTGTAAACTTGAGGCTTTAACATCTTTTCTACAGGCATATGCTGGAAACACCTTGGTCTAGAGAAACTAATAATATGCCTGAGTCACCCTGCCTTGGCTTCCTGCCTTCCTGGTTGTCCGCCTTCCACCCACCCTGAAGAGGAGTCCTTCTCCCTGGGACGGGACACACTTCTGATTTTCAAATACAAACCAACCAATCCAAAGCCCACACCCTCAACCAACTTCTTTATGGAGCTCTCTTATTCCAGGCCACTCTATATTGGCCCTAATCAACCCAAGGTTCAGGTGCCAGACAACTAGGGACAGCCCCTGTACTCCAGAGCCTGCTGAAAGTACTCAAACTAGCCAATCCTACACTTAGTGACCCTGGCTTGCCCATTCCTTCTCAAGGAAACCACAATGAAAACACTTGCCCAGTCCCCATCTCTCTCTCGGCCTTGTAACCAGTGATTCCTCTCTTGCCCGCCCCCTGTGATGAGCATAACACACTATCTTCTCAATGGCAGTCGTCTCTCATTCTTTTGACCTAAATAATGACACCTAGATAATAATAGAAGCTATTAAAACACAGGGCTAGCAGAAGACCATGGACTACTTGATTAAATCTGAGGCTATATATTCTCTACTTGGCTATACGTGTCTTTAAATACCTTGTAAGTTTCATGAGGGACAGGAAAGTCCATTAACGTGCTATTTTATTTAATTACCTCATTATTTTGCAGCTATCAATAATTCTCTTCTCTCTTTATCACTCTTCAAAGTAATAGCTGATCTTGGTTTCTCCACCCTCTAATTTCTTACAGGCTGTTTAGCCAATTTTCAATATCATAGCTCTGAGAGGTATCAATATTATCAGATCCTTCATTTTGTATATTGTACTGTGTATTGACCAGCTGCTCTCTGCCAGGTGCTATGGTATGTGCTGGAGATACACTGATGGGCAGTAACAGACACCATCTCTCTTTTATGGTAAAATTAACTAAGTGGACACACGCTAATCAACTCATCAGAGATTCAAATGTATAACTGCAAACTGTAATAAGTATTGAAAAGAAATAATACAAATTGTTATGAGAACTCTTTTTGGGGCACCTGACCTATTCCACGGGGCCAAAGGGACTTCTATAAGAGAGCTGAGAACTGAAGGGTAATTATCAAATTAATTAGGGAGAGGGAAGTTGAAAAGAACATTCCAGTGAGAAAGAACAGCAAAGGTCCCAGGGTGGAAGGCAGCATGATATGTTCAAGGGAAATTGGCTGGTGGTGAGAATGGAAAGTCAGGCAGGGGACAGATCACACAGAGTCTTCAAGGTCATTTTAAGGCTTAGGGTCTTGACCATGATGATAACGGGAAGCCATTGGATTAAGAAGCCTTGTTTTGAATTCCAGCTCTGCTCCTTTTTGGCTATATGACTTTGGGCACGTCATTTAATCTTTCCTAAGCCTCAGTTGCCTCACATATAAAATGTTATAATAGTAAGTCCTACTTTGTAGAGGCTTTACATGACAAAAATACGCAGTAAGAGTCTTATTTATGTTACCTATATCATCTCTAGTCACTTCTGACCTCAGGGCTTCCTTTTCATCTTTCTCAGTCAGTTCAACAGACTAGACAACTCCTAAATCATCTCAGAAATGGAATCTTCAGACATCAAAGGTCTACCAAATGGATGAGGGAGGAAGCTCTGTGATGTGGCTACCTATTGGACTTCCACGGCCATTCTCAATTTGAACCTCTCTAAAACTGAATTCATCTCCACTCCTCTGGAAGCCTGTGTGTCCCTTGCAGTTTTTCCTATCTTGGTAAATGGAATAATCAAGGCTTCAATCACATAAACTGGCAACTTGGCAGGCAGCCTGAGCCTCTCCCTCTTCCTCTGTCCTACATCTAATTACTTTCAAGTCCTACAGATTGTTCCTGCAACACATCTGGTGAATTCCTCCCCCTTTCCTGCCACTTCGGGCTGGTTCAGG